AATGTAAGTGGCTATTGTTTGGGACGAACAATACTATGGAAGGGGCAGTGTTATGACAGTGGAGATCATGTGACGCTGGTAGCATGCATGAAGTTTCTTGAATTATGGGAAAAGTCCGAGTTTGATCGGGATGCCCTCTTCTTTAGTATATAAGCTTGACAGAGAAAGCTAGCAGTGGGAATAAAGTGTGTGTTTTGTACTCGTCGAGAGCGAAATTATCGAGATTGTGAATCGTTGTGATTTATACCGTGTATTATAAAAATTATTGAGTTTAAGGTGACGAGAAACGTACTGATTGTGGAACTACTGTGTATCTAGGAAGAATAAACTGGTTTAATCAAGAAAGGACTTGTATCGCTGAAGATCCTTGGAAAGAATTTCTAGCGGAAACAAACAAATAAGGAAATACGTAACACTACCTTCGAGTAACTTAGATAATTTTACATTATGACTCATGGTATTTTGAACGTGTTCTAGACCTATCTGATCAACACGTCATCATTATGACCCGCAGACCCACCTAGCAAACAAACAAATGACAACAGCAAAAATATAACTAATAACAATATATTTTATGATGTTTTTGATTGTTTGTTTACATAATAAAATATAATGCGCAAAAAAGAAAAGGAAGTGAATATATTTAATTTCCTTCTCGACGTTTCTATTTTACATAAAAAGTGAAACACAATAGTATATACTTTTTATTTCTTTTAAGAAGTATACTCTCACCCATTTAAAGCGCATCTAACTTTACTGTTTTTTAATTACTGATGTTGAGATTAATTAGAATTGCTAGTCATGCTACAAAGCAATTACAACAACACATTAGTATTACCCTAGTGCTACCTATAGGAGTTGTTTTAGTGTTACTGACTGATTCAAGATGCATTTTCCAAGTTGGTACTTTGACAGTAGACCGACCATGGTTTTAGAAAAGGATTGTTTAAAAGTTATTTTAGTTGTTACATTCCAGTTTAAAAATTATTTTCCTACATATCGCAATTTAAAGTAAAACTTAAGTTAAACCAGCACTTAGTAAAGAAGATAAGCTTAAATAATTAGATTGCAAATTAGATATACTTATTGTAAATAATAAATTATTTATAGTTTATACATGTCTTAGTTGTCTGTTGATCATGATACATTGGTGGTGTTACTTCAATGTTAGTTAGAAAAAGTTAGGCCTAATAGTAATATAAGTTTACCAATTATTCAGTAGACTTAAGTAGTGTTTTTACTTTACAAACATGTTGCTTTTTCAAATTTTCATTATTATTTTTTATTGTTCTAAAATGTCGTTTACTAATTAGCATCGGTATTTATCATAACATTGTGCAATCAATCATATAAATTATAATTACGTAGTAAAATGTATTTTGTGGTTTTGATATTAAATCTTTGTCATATAGTTTTTATTCATAATCAATAAATCACAATACATGTCAAGTTCAAAAAGGGTAGAACACTTTCATCAAGTTCATGGTAATCTTCCTTGCATATTATTTCAGGCTATAACTTAAATAGTGTGATAAATGTTGCAGCCAGCTGATTTGCTTCTTTCTTAGAAAGTTTCTGTTTTATAACTTTGAATTATTATTAAGTGATTGAGATTGAACTGCATAGGAAAACAATTTTACCATTTTTTCAGGACTTGTAAGTTGTAAGTATATTTGTTTTTGAACAGATTGTTTACATGAATATATATACTTTCCCTTTTTTGTATTACAATATTTGATTTTGATTTACCCCAACCTCTCTTCAGATTCTCCATACCAAGGTTGATATATATTCTCTGTGAAATAAATTCTCGTTTTTATGATAACTATTTGAGGTTTTTTGTTTTGTTCTCGTTAGTTTCATTTTAGTACTTTATTTCCAGAATGTGACATGCACTTATGATAATTCTGAGACTGTGCTTCTGGTGACTATTTATGTTCTTTTTGAGAAAATCTGTGCTGCAAGCTAGTGACAACGAGGTATACCATCTAAGTAAGTAGAAATTAATCAAGCCAACATATAACAATAAATAAGATGAGTGAAATGTCTGTTTTTGTTATAGCATATAACTTTTTCTGTATGTAATATATATGCTCATATCAGTTAGAATTCTGTCATTTCCTAACTATGTGTTCAAATTCAAAATGGTTATGCTTTGGTAATGTATGTTTGTTAGTAATGGAGTGCAGGTATATTTGATATTAATGATCACTAGCATGCCACACATGGTATATTTTATACAGAAGAATAAATGCATCTATTTTTTTTTAATTATCTTGGAAAATTAAAATTCTAATGGTCATGATGGAGAGTTATCTGTTAAAAAGTGAGTCCTGATACCTTATTTTGGGAAAGACAAGCTTTAGAACACTAATATTGATTGATTAGGTCATTAGATGATTTTACATACTAATTGATGAAAGATTTTGATTAAGACAAATCAATTATATGAAAACAATCCAGCTAGGCTTTAGAATGAAAAGAAAGTTCAATTTGCTATGTATTGAGCTAAATCTCATTTAGGTATTCATATAAGATATAACATAACATGATATTTAGGGACAACAAGGGATCTATTGGTCCAGCTCTGATGTCGCATCCTCTAAACTAAACTATTATAAATTAAAAAAAATCTTAAAGCCAACCTTATGATTCATGTAGTTGTGAAGTTTTCTCTTAATCTTACTTAAATTTACTGCCTCCACAACATCCAAAGGCAACCCATTCTAAAGGCCAACCACCATGTTAGAAAAATAAAACTGTTCTTAGCTGAAGATAACTCATACCCTGCTAAAATTTATATTTGCATCCACTAGTCTTACTATTCTCCTTTTTAAGTATAAAAAAGATGATGCATCAACACTATCAATTCCCTTTACAATCTTAATCACCTCAATCAGATCCCTCCTAATTCTTCTTTTTTCAAGAGAAAACAATTTGGAAGATCTCAACCTCTCCTCCTATGACAACGCCTCCATCCCAGGCACCATTCTATTAACTCTTATCTGAACCCTTTACATCAATTCATTGTCCTTCCTATGGTAATGAGACGAAGACTGAACACAATACTTGAAATGGCATGTGAAAATTTTCTGATGTATAAAAGTATTTTTAATCTTAAAATGAAAATTACTTTGAATGTTGGATTGGAAACATGCAAAAAAGAAAAAAAAAAGCATGAGAAAAACATTGCTTTACAAACCTCAAGACTTAATAAAAGAATTTTAATATTTTGTGTATGAAAGCATTATAATGTTTACTGATAATCTGCCAAATTTCATTAACACATGCTTTCTAATTTAAAAGTTATAGCATGAAAACTATAACAAGCACAAAATGAGTACGAGGTCAGTCACAGGGACTGAGCCCATGCTGAAAGAGTTAGTACTCATAGTCAAGTTGAGGTTAGCCATTAGTCTTAATTGTATTTTTTCAACGATACCAATTCGCTTAGGCTTACCAAACTGTTTGTTATTTTATGATTACTTGTAATTTATCCTACTATTATATCTATCATTAATTATACTATATTGTTTTTTCTTCCATACATCATGTCTTATACATAGGTTATTGTCACTACACACTTCCTTAATTTTATATAACCATGTCTGTTTCATTTTTGTTATTATTTCTCTTTTTTCCTCTTCCTATTCACTTGGTTTGTGGGGAAATCTTTACACTGTATCGACTATTTAATTTTCATCTATTTTCATAGTTTATTCTTTTTCCCATTAATTTCATTTAATTTATACTTTAAAACTTCTTGCCTTTAATTATGTTTTATTTTATAATTTTTTACTTCTTACCATTGATTTTGTTTGTGGTGGCCGGGGGCCCACCCTACCTTCTCCCAATATTGCTCGCTTTCCTCCTATAATGGCTGAACCCATTTTCAGGCAACCTAGATTTTGTCAGTTTTCCTCCACTTTCTCATGGAGTGCCTTCCAGACCTCTACTGCAGAATGTGCCAGGCCTAATTAAGTTATTTTTTTCAGCACGTTTGTTTGCATATACCCCTTCTTGTGATATTGTTTCATGTTGTTCTTTTTGTCTCTTTTGAGATTGGGTACTTGCAAGCCTCACCCTATGCAGGCTTTAATTCTTTTTGCCTTAGCTTACCATCAGGCAAATTTTCTTGCTGATTTATGTTAGTTGCATTGCTGTTAATCCTATTCATTTTATCCCCTACCTAGTTATTTTCTTAGCTTCATTTACTTGATTGACACTCCTACAGTTAATGTTTGCCTTCCATCTCATTTCTTTGGTGTTCCACATATATTTAGGGATTTTCGTGCGATACCTCATCCTCCTTCCCATCACATTACGGTTTTTGTCATCTTCAGGTCATTCCCTCCACACGTAGATTCTTTGCTTTTAGGATCTTCTATGGTGAGACACTGCTGTTTGTTTAACATCCAATGCTAGTTGGATCTTACAGTCAGTTCTTTTTCTCCATCAGACTGTTTTCTGGGACTACTCCTGTACATTTAGCATCACATGGGGTACCTGTGATGCTATATTCAATTTTTTTTAGTTGCTCTTTTGTTTCATTCTTAGATATTATTATCTTTATTCATTTTCTAGTTGCTCTTTTGTTTCATTCTTAGATATTATTATCTTTATTCATTTTATGTGTTCGGCACCTGCCCATCCTTTACCTGTCTCATCAGTGGGTTTTCTTCGTTCATCTTGTGTGTTCGATGCTGATTGGGGTTCTGGATCAATTGGTTCCACCTCAATCACTTCCTGGGTCTTCCCTGTTTTCATATGTTGTCTTTGATCGCATTTGGATAAGCTGTTTCTGTAGGACTGAGTATGCCCATGGTATACATTCTTATCTTCAGTTTGTTTCACCACTTGATTAGGTACCAGTTTCATGCCTTGACCTTTAGACTTGTTTTGGTTCTATGCCTTTTGTGGGGTGGTGTGCATTTTACCCGACTTACACATTTGGGGGATTTGACCAACAGCATTCATTGGATGTCTGTCTTCGGTTAGTTCCTATCAAAAGGGGGTAATCTTATCATACGTTTCTACTCCTTCCATAGTTGCCTTGGATAGTTGGATTTTCCAGTTGAATATGTTTTTCCTGTTACATTTCACACATTCTAGTCTCTTTGGGGTGTGTATTTTTAAACATAGTGGCAATGCAGTGTGTCTTTGGACTTACAATGCTAGAAACCGGGTTTCGATATCTATGGGGGGCAGAGCACAGACAGCCCATTGTGTAGTTTGTGCTTAATTACAAACAAACAAATCATCAGGAAAATCATTCTCATCCTCGAATGCATTTGTAGGTGTTTTCAGTTACTTTACTTTGGGTTTTCCTCTTCATTTTCTTCCTTCCTTCATCTATATGTGTTGATAGTTCAAATATATTGAAGTTTGGATTTACAGCTTCCTCCCCCTTTTCTGGATTGTTTTTCTTCTCTGATGCTCATCTCCAAAGGTGGGGAGTATGGCTTTATCAGTAGGAGGCTTCAGGATAATGGTCTCCAGTTTAAAGGTCTTATTTTCTTCAAACCTGAACACTTCCACCAGTCCAAGGTGCTTTAGTTCACACTCTTCCTCTTGTGTAGTTTGACTGGATCGATTTTATTAACCTACATTTTAGTGGCTCATGTGGTATATTTCTTTCGACTTTTTCGTTTCTTACCATCTTCGACGTTTCTTCTCAGTGGGATGCAGATGACCTTCTCTGGCCAGTACATGTTGTGGGTTTCTTCATTGTTTTTAATGCTTCTTTCCATTAAATCCAGTTCCTACATTTCCTCCCCTTCTTCCAGATCTTTGTCTGTGATTTTTTCTCCTCCTCCCTTACCCATTGGGTTTAGATTGTGATTTGATTGGCCTTTTCTTCCTTGTCTCATTCTTCCCATTTTTATTTCCTGGTTCTTCACTCCTATCATGCACCTTCCTTTTCCCTGCATGTCTACCCTGCCATCAGTTAGAGGTATTTCATCTGTCGAGCACTGGGACTACAGCTCGTATATTTATCTTCAATTCTCTGTTTAGGGTAGCTGTTTCTTCTTTATCGGGGTACCGTCATCCACCTGTTGCCATCATTCACTCTTTAATGTGACTGTGACTGGGTAAGTTACCTTTTTACTGGATCTTGCTCTGTGGTGAGTGGTACCTGACCAGGTATTCTTTAAATGCTCAAATCTGCACTGTAAAGCTATGTCGACCTGCGTAATATAATTCCATGGCCAAGCATTGCACAGATGAGGTGTTCCACAAGATCGCTTATAGGTTTATCCTTGCGATAGAATTGCTTCATAAATTTGTCCTTCCTGGATCGTACTCACTCATGTACTACATGTGTAAAGCAGAAGGGAATAGCTGCCCATCCCTGCCATACCTCATATTGAATAAATCAATATTGTTTGCTTTTAAAAGTATAGTTTTGTGGTTACCCATTGTACTGTCTCAGGTGTTGTTGTTCCTCCAGATTCTCCACTGCATTTTCCCCCCTTTTCTTTTAGTGCAGATCGAGAGTCCTTATCACTTTCGAGTTCCAAGCCGCTGGGGTGAAGGACTATGAAGGCATCCTTCTGAATGGGTTAATAAAATGCAAACAAAGTATAGAAATGATTATAAAACTATTCAGTTGAGAGTAGGGCAGTGGTGTTCTGCTGGTGTAGGTGACATGATATCCTTAATATAAAACAAAAAACAATTGTATCAAATTGTCTTGTATATTAGCTATAGCAAAATGTAGATGCATGCGGTAGTCATTACATTATTCATAAATTAAAAGTTATTTCTACAGGCACTACATATATTTAACAAACTAGTTTTCTACAGTGATCAGTAAATTTATTCAACCCATGAACTGTTTCAGGAACATATTTATCAAATCAAATATAATGATGTGTCTAAAGAAATTTCTTGTATATGGAACATATTCCATACTGAAGGAATATTCAGTATTAGATATGTGAATATTAACCTTGCTTTTCATTTTCAGATAGCATGATGAACTCCATTTCCTTCATAGATGTTAGTAGATTAGTAGACTAAAATGCCAGGTGGGAAGACTACTTTAAAAATCCAGTGGTTGGAAGCATTGGATGCTAACAAGAGCAAAATCAGAGATTGGTGCAATGACTAGTATACAGCATACTGTAGCCTTTGCTGCTGCCAGTTGAGTGTGGATAATGCTGGAAAGTCCTCTTTACTTTATCACACAAATGTTAAAGGCCATAAAAGCAAAGTTAATAGTAAGCAGACAAAAGTTATGTTTACTGTTAAACCAAGTGCATCTACTGTCAAACTTGGAGAAAAAAAACTGAAGATTTATGTTTCATCAAAGTGGAAATGTGCAAATCTTTTTGTACTGTAAAATTATTTAGACCCTTCTGATTTTGTAAGAAAAGGTTGGCATGTGATGACTATAAGGGTGGTATAGGCCATTTTGTTTCATTGATGTTAAACATACTGTTGCTTTTGTTACTTGTATGTATATATGCCCAAAATGTACACACATAACCATATACCATTTATTTAACTTTCTGAATTGCAGTATTTGATGTGCCAAAACCTCCTATATTTTAAGCAATTTTTTTACAAAAACTATATTTCTGTAGTTTTGGCACCAAAAAGTACTGGGAAGTTTGCGTTATCATAATTTAAAACCCATCTGCTATGTACTTGCCAAACTTGATAAATTCGATGACGAGGAACCCACTTTGAGACTAATAATGGCTGGAGACGGCTTAAATGGGTAATGAAGAAAAACTTTAATATAAGTTTAACATGACAGCAAATGTACAACGTTTCGACAAGGTTTTGTCATCATCTGATGATGATGTTGATGAAAAACCCTTGTCGAAACGTTGTACATTTGCTGTCATGTTAAACTTAT